TCTGAGGATGAAACCCCTACCATTTTTCTCTTTGACTGTCTTGAACCTGAGGAACCCACCCCTGAACTATTTACTGAAATCTTACCAAGGAACAACAAGTTGAGGTTCAACAAATTTTATCTGATCATAAAGATTATTTATTAATTATATCTCTAAGGAAGATCAAACAAGTAATCTAGGAAGAACTATAGTGGTTATCCATGTATTAATATTGGGAATGCTATTCTAGTCAATAGTGACCATATAAAGCCTCATCTAATCAACAGCAATTCATCAAAAAGGAAATTGAGAAAATGCTGCAGTGAGGAATTATTAGTTCTACTATTAGCTCCTGATCTTTTCCTATTGTTATAGTGCCCAAGAAAAATAATAAGCAACACTTCTGTATTTACTATAGGAAACTCAATGCAGTTACTAAAAAGGATGTCTACTTCATGCCAATTGTGGATGACCTTTTGATAATCTTTGATGGTGCTCAATAGTTTACCTGTCTTGATTTAGCAAGTGGATATTGGCAAGTGGCAATGAGTGATAGGGACAAATACAAAACAGCATTCATAACAAAATATGGCCTATATGAATTTAATATTATGCCATTTGGTCTTTGCAATGCTTCTACAACTTTCCAGTAACTAATGACAAAGTATTGACTCCCTACCATGGCAAATTTGATGAAGTTTACCTTGATGACATTATCATCTTCTCTATCATCTTTGAACTCTACAATTAACATGTTCCTATTATCTTGGATACTCTCAGGAAAGCCTCTCTAATGTTGAACTCTGAAAAATGTCACTTCTTTTTATCACAAGTAAAATTACTTAATCATGTTATTAACTATAATTGAATCCAACCTGATGATGACAAAATTGTGAAAGTTAAGGAATTCCCAAAGCTTACTGCTATTAGGCAATTGATAGGATTTCTTGGACTTGTTTCTTATTATAGAAAGTTTATTAAAAACTTCTCTTCCATTGCCCGCTCTCTGAATTTTCTTTTGGAAAAGGATATTTCCTTTGAATGAATGGATAATTATTAGCAAGCCTTTGAAACTTTGAATGACTCTTAACCTTATCTCCTGTTTTGAGATATCCTGATTTCTCCAAGGTCTTCTATCTTTATCCTGATGCTTTTGAAACTGGTATTGGTACTGTTCTGGTACAAAAGAATAGAAAAAAGGAGTATGCAATAACCTATGCTAGCTGCAGTCTTAACAAAACTAAGCAAAACTATTCTATCATTGAATTGAAATGTCTTGCAGCCATTTGGGCTGTTGAACATTTCCTTCAATATCTAGGGACTCAATACTTCTTCTTGATTACTGACCACTCTGCTCTTCAATAGTTGAAAACAACTGAACTTAAAGGACGACATGCAAGATGGATACTCTGCTTGAAATCCTATAACTTCACTATTAAATACAGAGCTGGAAGAAATCACAACAATATTGATTCCATGTCTAGGATGTATGATGTAGATGAACCAATCTTTCACAACTTTAAGTCTATACCCATCCAAAACTAATTCAAAGTCAGCAATCACAAGTGAAATTTGATAATAAATAATATTCAACCCAGATAGTTAGTATCCTGGACAACAATACAATCTATCTTATTAAAATGAAATTTCAACATTATCATCATCTCAAAAACTATCTTCAACATAACAAATTACCTGACACTTTTAACAATAAACAACAAAAGCAACTTATCTCCAAAGTACAATATTACCAAATAAAAACAACCAACTCTACAAAAAAGATTGCTGCAGGAAAACAAGAAAGCAATTACTATATGTGATTCAAAAATATAAAGTGGAACCAATCTTATACTTACTATACAACTATCCTACTGGAGCTCATCTTGATATGGATAAGATTTTTAAAAAGTTACATAATCAATACTACTAGCCTCAAATGTTTGAGAATATGAAGCATTATATTAATATTTATGATCAATGTTAATAATGAGGCAAATTCAGGACCCTGGATCCTTACATCCAATCACAGTTGGTGACCCCATCTCCAAAATAGGTATTGATATTGTGAAACCCCTTCCAATCATAAGCAAGGGAAACAAATATATCATCATTGTAACTGACTACTTTATAAAATAGCTTGAAGCTGAAGCAGTTTCCTATGCCATAGGATAGAAAGTTGTAGATTTTATTTATCAAGTTATTATTTGCAGACATAGATGTCTAAAACATATACTTTCTGATCAAGGAACACATTTTAGAAATAAAATTGGTAAAGCTTTATTGGGAAAATTTCAAATATGACATCTTTATTTTATTCCATATCACCTATATACAAATAGACTAGTAAAGCACTTCAATAGGACTTTATATGAATCTCTAACAAAAATAACTGAGGGAAAGGAAGATTGTGATGAATTTATTGCATCAACATTATTTGTCTATCATACATTAAAACAAGCTTCCACCAAATTTATCTCTTTCTATCTAGTTTATGGCTATAATTCTCAAATGTCTCATATGGAAATTAATAAAGTAATAGAAAAAAATATCTTGACCTGACTTTATCAACTGATTGAAACCCTGCCCACTGCTCAAGGAACTACCTAAGAAAATATTCTGAAAGCCCAAAGAAAACAAAAGTAAAGATTTGATTTGAAGTTGAAAAAGCCAAGGAACTTCAAACTTGGGAATAAAGTATTAGTCTATAATGTTGCCAGAAACAAACACTTTACTAAAAAACTCAAACCAAAATGAAAAGAACCTTACTTTGTCCATAATAACTTGGGAAATGGAGCCTTTAAACTTAGGACTATGGATGGAAAAGTTCTGGCTACTTCTCTCAACTTGGCCTTGCTGAAACCATATTTGGATCATTATAAATAAGAATTTATTGTATATATTGAAAACTGAAAGGAGGAATATATAGTATAATAGTAATAGCTCCTGAGCTTTTATCACTATTACAGCTGGCTCCAGGGCTCTTAGCAATTATTGTATAATCTTAAGGTGAAGTACTTATAAGTAGGCAAGTGAAAATATGAAAAAGGAAAACAAAAACCTTAAAGCTCAAGTGAGGAAAAGGTTTTATTCAAAGATGCAGTAATAGGAACACTCAACTGGACCAATAGGATACCAAGCCTGGTTACCCTCTACCACAAGTTCTAGTTTTCCAACTTCAACTCTCTGATCCTAGTTGAAGTGAAACTTCTAGAGGCCAACCACTCTATCTTTTTTTTCAACTGATGGATTTCTTCTTAAAGACCAGCCTAAAACTACTTATTTGTCTCTCCAAATACTTGACTCTTTTCTGGTAGTAATAATAGTTGTCCACAAAAAATCTATTCTTCCTAAGCAAGTGAGTCTTTGTGCCTTAGCAGCTCTGTTTTCTCTTGGCATGATAATAAAAAGAATATGAGAAATATTTGACAAATCAAAGAAAATTTTCATATTAAATAGAGGAATATGGATGATTATACTATATTAATAATTATATAAGGAGCCTCACTGCCTATTAGTTTATATCAAAAAGAATTACCATACTTATATAAAAATTACTATGACTACCATACAGAACCTAATTTTGGAGGATCTTCTGATCACAATTGCTGAATTTGTATAAGTGATCCCAATAACATATAATCTATTTCAGCCTATTGAAAATCAGGTCTTGCAAATATACAGGTATATACAATGTACTATCTGTATGAAAAACAGAATTTTTTTCTTGATCTATGTATACTATCTGGGAAAATTATTGAAAGAAATTGTTAACTGATTACAACAATTCTATCTGAATAAATACTTGACTAAATATTATCTTACTGAATGCTATCACACTTATAGTCTCTTTGAAAGATTTATAATTGAGCAAATTTAGTAAACAAGGCATATAACTTTGACTATGATTATCAAGTTGAAGTTTAGTGAATATCAACTTCTTGTGAATTCTTAATTTGTGGAACTTATCCCTTAAGTAGAGAGGAAATGCTAGCCTTAATTATTAGTTATATTTTCTTTTAATTATTATCTATAGTTATTGTTTATCATATTACTTTAGTTCTATTTTTAGATCATATGATACATGTGATACGAGATGTGTCTCATTGGTTTATAGGGTAGATCCAATTATTAGGACAAAGTAGTAATTGACATAGCACACATTATTTAATTTCTTTATTTTATTATCATATCTTATTTATATTTAGTTAGCAGATTACCCAAGTGAGCAGATCTGATATATTGACCTGATTTGATAAATTGAGCAAATTTGGTCACTTTGATCACTTTGGTTACCAAATAATTAATATTCAATTATGTATATAAAGGACAGCTTTCAAAGCAGTTGATCCAAGGTTTTATCTACTGAATTCTCTTATTCTTGATATTATATATCTCTAATAAATCTTTTAATTAAACCAAATTATCCAAAGCCTCTTTTAATGTATTTGTATAATCTCTACTATTTTTGAATTATCAACTTTAGTATATTATGACTGTGGTATTCTCTCTCAACTTAAAGTGAATTACTGCTATAGTTGTCCCATCTATCTATCTAATTTGGAGGTTATTGGATAGGTTAATAATATAAAAAGTAATTACACTATATATAAATCTACCTAAAAATTCATAATTTTCAATATACAAGGTATATTAGAACTACACAAAAAAGTATCTGATCTAACTTTTGCATGGCAATAGTATGGGACATCATAGTTATCACAAATTTAATAGATTGTATTATTTTTCAAAATACTAGTAATATAAGAAATATCAGATTATCTAAATATACAAAAAATCATAGACAATAGGTTAAGACCTCAATATAATGATAAACAAAAATATTGTATATCAAATATACAAATATAAGATACTAGTAGGTAAACTTATCTCTACAGACCAGGCCTTTTCACACAAGGAGAAAATAAAAATCATAAGTATTTACTTTCCTTCTCAAGATATAAATAGAAAAAAAACTACTGTAATAAACACCCTCAACAAATAGATAATAGAAACATTCATAAATGGCTAGTATCTTATTATAATGAGTAACTTGAATAGAGTTTTCAATTCAGCTATAAACAGATATATTCCCAATGCAAAAACCAGACACCATATTCTATTAGACAAACAAATTTTGATACTGATGAGTAATAAATTAGAAGATATATACAAAGTATACAACTCTTTGACTAGAGAGTACACCTGAAATAATAAAATTAGAATTAATAAAATTAATTAAATATGGATTAATTCCTTCACAACTTGGCAATTAAGAAAAGTCTCAATTAAAAATTATACAACTCCTGATTAAAGGGATCATATATTCATGATAACTAAAAATGAAATTTGATGCCTAGATAAATTCAAATAAGCATCATTTCATAAGTTTAATCACAAATACAATTGGTACTTACTACATTACAACAATAAAAAAACTTTAGTAACTTGATTAAATAAAAGATATAGAAACAGGACACAAACAAACAGTTAGTAAATTAGAGACGAAACAATTTCTGCAACATTGTCTAGAAAATAACAAAACAACATATCTGAAAAAAGAAAGCATATCACAAAAATAAATAACAATTGAATTATATAGAAATAGAACTACTTATTATTCAACTCTAACATTTCTCTCTACAACTTAAAGAGAAAAAGAAAAAATTAATCAAGAGCAAGACACAATATGTTTCACTATTCCTTAGAATATGCAAGAAAGATTTTCAAATATGATAATGTCTTTAAACAAACTCAAAGCTAACTACTCTACCATATTCATTAACAAATAGATCTAAATAATACACAATAATATAAAAATTCACAAGATAGTAGCCAAAGATATTGCACAATTGTATATTTTTAAATATTTTCTTTCCTTTTATTTTTCCTTCTCCCTTTTGTAGTTTTTTAAGTTTAGTTTCTTGAAGGATAATAATTAGTGACAACCTGTTGGCAATAATGGATAAGTTAGAAGGATTTTCATCCAAAACTTAGTCTGGAGCAAATATTGTCCTCAAGGTTGTACTTAGAAATTGAAGCTCTTTTGAGAATTGAAAGCTATTGATGAGTGTGTCAGTACAAGTCTTTTAGTTTAGCCATAAAGCAATTGTCCTATTTTTTTTTTTTTTTTTTTTTAAGCTGGCAAAGTCATGCCTGTAGTTTTTATTTGATCATTAATACCTTCTTATATACACAAATTTAATTGTGAGAAAATACATTTATGATAGGAAAAAAAACTATAGACTCAGTATCTTTCGAACCTTGTGACTTGCTACAGTTCATCCAGTGGATGAATATTAGTATGTCATGACTTCACTAACACTAATATTTATCGAGAATAAAGAGTTAATCGAGAAACCATTTTGTATGATATCTTTTATATTGTGGTTTGTTAGATCTATCCATAATTGCCTGGCAATGTTGGGTGCTTCCTTGTTTGATAGTATTTCCTCTTTTTTTGGTGTATGTTGTTGTCACTTGTTGATCTTTTTTTTATCTTTTTTGTTATTCCTATGTTTTTTCTCACTTTACTACCAGTTCGCATATTAGCTTATAGACCTCTTCTTTTTTTCTTAGAACTGTGCTATAGCTGACTTGATGGCTGCTCTTGTCGTTTCTATATTTTCTGTGATTTTCTCTACTGTTTTCATTATCTTGTGGCTGATGACCCCTCTGATAATATCTGTTCAATTTACCTCGTAATCTCTATTTGCCCGGTCTACTGATGTTTTTGGAAGAAGTGCATAGTTCTACTTGTTCTATATGGGTTTTTTTTATTTGTGACCATTTGTTCTAGCTACACACTCTTGTATAATAAGGGTGATGTATTTTTCTGTTAATCTTGACCTGTTGAGTCCGCAGGTGAAGGGATGCAAGTTTTTCTTTATCAGCTTTCTGCAGATTGTACAGATAGGGCTTTAATATAGATGCAATTTTCTTTTGTGCAGATTGTCTATTGTAAGATGTTCATTGAACCATGTCTTGAGGTGAAATGTCTTGTCATTGTGATCCTGAGAGTTTATCTGCATTGTTGTGATCTTAGATAGTGTTATTGTTTGCATTATCATATTCAAATCAATCTTCTTAGCTTTGGATCTATTTAACCAGTCTTGAGTGCATCTTAGGGTTCTCTACTTACTTGCCTATTTTGTCTTGAGTAGAGTCTTCCCTATAGTTTTGAAGGGAAGGTCTATAAAAGATTGATCCCATCTGAGCATTGCCATGTCACTTGTTGTGTTTAGCTCTTGGATCTTGACTATGTCTTTATAGGTATCTAGTATTGTTATTGCTGCGAGTTTGTCTACTCATTCATTTCCATAATTTCTTGAATGATTCTTTATCTTGATCCAGATAACTTGTATGTTTTGTGTTGTTTTAACTTCTCAGATTGCATTGACCAGGCTTTTGTTAGGGCATTCTTGTCTCCTTTTGTTTTTGCGTATCCGCATAAGTGTCCTCTTGATTATATTAATTGCTTCTTGATTGTTGTTAAGATATTCCCTTTTTTGTATGCACTTATTGTGCAGGTTGCTGTTAGTATCACTATGAGCTTTGTTCTTGTAAAAGATAGGATGTCTTGTGTTTCAGCTTGGAATGTTGTGACTTCTACTCCTGCCTTTGTTATGGCTATCCAGCCAATCCCCATCCTAATGTTCCTATAATATCTTGTGTATGAGTTATTGGTATATATCTGTAGATTGTCATATGGGACGAGTTCGTGTACTATTTGTTGTAGTTTGCGAAGTGTCCTGGAAGGGCCTTTGAGTTTCTTGAGAATTAAGGTCTTAACGTTTGATATTAGATCAAGATTTATCATTGGAAGGGTTATTACTAGAGGCCATATATTGATCTCTTTTAAGGCAAGTTTTATGTCTTGTGGAGAGGATTGTAATTGATTAATGAAGGGTTTTTTTTTGTCGATTTCTTGTTGACTGAAAATATATCCCTTTTTGCTTTTCTGAACATTTATATTGATTGACCTCTTCATAAGTTGGGACATTACACATTGTTATTGATCTTTGTAACCTTTTCTGAGCTCTAGGTTATTAAAGGAGCAGTGTTTATACTTAAACATTGGAGATGTCTGTTCTTCTCAGATCATATGGTTAACTATTATATGTTGACTATTTCTGAGTTTCTTCTTCTTTGTTATTATTGTTGTCCCATTCTTTTTTGTTGCTAACCACTTTATCATCTGTGGTCATTGGGTGGGTAACACTGGTATATTGGTTTGAAATCTGTTTATTGTAGGTGAGCTGCTGTTATTGTTATTAAAGGGTACTGTTTTTCTCTGCTCCTTTATCCTTATTATTGCCTTTCTGGGTGCTATGTCCTTCAGTTCCTTAAACCAAAGTGGTATTCTGCCTTGCTTTTCTAGTCTAACTCTCACCTGTTTCCAGAATAAATGTCTCATTTGATCATCATTGAGTAGCTGGTTATAGAATAGAATTCCTCTGTGTCTGAGAGAGTTCCTGTGTTTATTGTACTATTTCTTTGATACTATTTCGTTGATTGCTTTGCCTTCCTTCCTAACTAGTTTACCAAACCATATGTGTTCTACTAGAGTGATTGTGATTCCTTGAAGCTTTAGAATATTGAGAATCTTGTTTGTCGGGCTTTTCCTTTTCCTTGTTCAGAAGGGCAATCTATCTATTAGGATCAATGTATCAGACCAGTATTTATTTTGAAGGTGTTGTAGTCTAAACTGTGTTGTTATGCTGCTTAGGTTGCAGCTGTTTAATCTATTGTAGAGATTTTTTCCATGTATAAGAATTTGTATATCCCATAAATTAAATAGTTTGCAGCCAAAGTCTACATGAATGATACTATTTGAGGTTGTTGCTAATAGATCTGCTTTGTGTTTGAAGACTTTATTGATTTTACTACTTATTTTATCACACTCTTTTTCTGATAGAACCAGGTCATTCAACAGATATTCTATTGCTAGGTAAAAGATATGGTTGATAATGTATTGGGTCTGTTTATCAGTTATCTTTTTCCATGATAACATTCTGGTGGTGGTGTTCACTTTCCTTCTAATAATATTCTTTTGGTGATCTTTTCTTCTATCTTTTAATATTCATACTCCTAAAATTCTGGTTGCTTCACAATATTGTAGTAGAATTATTTGTTTCCCATTTAATAGACACTTGTTTTCCTGTCTTCCTTTATATCATTTATCTTTATAAACTCTACTGCCTTGTTCAAAATGGCCTGCATGGAGGCTTGACTGTTTGTGAACTATGTTGTGTTATCCATGTAAGCCGTTGCAGTAATATTGGTCCTTCTTGTTGTTTCGCTGACCATTTTCCCCTTATTCAATAGTGTCAAGTCTAATAGAACCTTTGTTTCCATTGTATATCCAATGTGTTTGTCCTCAATCTCTTGTAGTAGGGGGTTATAAAAAATTCTCCATAACAGTGGAGAGATGTTACCCCCTTGGTCAATTCTATCATGGACAGTATATTCTTCCATCAGGCCATGTGCTATAATTATTCTATTTTTTCTGTTTGTTAATAAGTTATCCAGAGTACTTATTATCCTTTCCAGTATGTGGATTCTTCTGAGGGCTCGAATCAGTATGTCTTTATTGATGGAGTTATATGCTTTACTAATATCTTGACTGAATATCCAAGCTTTTTTTTTGAATTCCCTGGCTTCCTTCATCACGTTGTTAAGAATGTGAATTGGTTCTTGTGTGCTTTCTCTAGGTAAGCCTGCCCAGTTGTTGGTGCAGAGTATCTTGTTTTTGATATATGTTTCCGCTATCCTTTCTGTCAGGATACTCATGAATATCTTTCTTGTGGTCTTCAATAGTATAATTAATCATATTATGTTAATGTCTCCCATTCAGTCTTTAAGTTTGGATATGGGATATATGTTACTTTTCTTCCAGTCATTGGGGACCTCCCGTGCCTCTATCACTTTGTTGAACAATGTCTCCAGTAACTGTAATCTAGCCTTTTCTAAATGTTTCAACATGATGTAAAGGATTTTTGATGGTCCGGATACACTATTTTTCTTTGCTTTATGTATTGCTTTTTGTATGTCTACATGTCAATCTGTTGTAGTGTGTTATTGAAGTAGGTATCCTTGATGTTTGCCTTTGGCTCGTACTGCTGTTTCCAATATGGAAAGTTGTCAATATTGCTTGTTTATCTGGATCTTGTCTATTCTTTGAAGTGTTCTTTAATTCTATATCTTATG